GGGGGGGCTGATCTTGGTGGAAACGATCAACGGCCGCTGCCGCGGCGTCACGCACACGATCAGCGGGGTGCCAAAACTCTCATGGGAATGGATGCATAGCACCGACTCCGTGGGCACGGAGGACTTGGGCCGGGTCTAACAGGGGGAGGGAGGGACCACTCCACAAAACAGGCGCCGGCTTTTTCCTATCAAAGCAAAGTGTTGGGGACATCAGCCTCATTTGGGGCCCACATCCATGACGCGGGCGGGGGTGTTTCAGCATTAACACCCCCCGTGAGAGTTCCTAGCCAAGGCGCCTGCGGCGCACCCATCCGCAGCGACATTCTGCAGAGTATTCACAATTAATCTCCAGGCCTGAGGCCTCAGGAAGGTTACGAAGCTCGTGGGCAATCTCAAAGCATAGAGATGGCCCCCCATGGACAGGAGGGCTTCCCAGAGACCCCCACGCCGGCCCACAAGTCACTGAGCAGCCATGTACTTCGGAAAGGTGTGGCCCAGGGAGACTGCGGAAGGTCACCTCTGCCACGCCAGCACACAGGCTTGGCGCCCCTCAGGCGTGCTGCCAAAGCTTTGACATTCGTAAGGGGAGCCGCCTCATACTCAAAGACGACGCGCCGGTGAGACTCGGCGGGGTGCCCAGCTACCGCAAGCGCCGGTGATGAAAGGGCGTGCTTCGCCTCCCCCCGGCGCGCCCAGGCCCCCAGGGGGCGCTGTCCCTATTCCTGGTGTTGAAGGCGAGTGTGGCCAGCTTGACATGGCTTTCCCGTGGGCAGCTTGACGTCACACTTGTGGATGTTCGGGCACGTGGCCTGGGAGCAACCGCGGCCATCGTTCCAACGTTTGCAAAAACGTTGGCCGCCCTTGACCTGGCTCACAGTGGGCCACCTGTCAGTCTTGATCTGACGGCGTGGCTGCGGCGCCTTCTCCTCCGGGGCGTCGATCACCGTGGACTTCCGCTTGCAGGGCTTCAAGGAGCGCACTGCCACCTGTGTAACCCCGGCGGATCAAAGAAGCCATGGTTGACCTGGTGAGAGTGTCACACTTTTCAAACCACAGCAGGCTGCCATGGCCGTATTCCATAGTGGATCGCAAGGCATGGTCGGCGTAGTGGATGGCAACGTCCAACGGCACAAAGGTGCGTTCCTGCTTGTCAAAGTCTTGTTGCTTGAAGAGGCCTGCCCAGCCCCAAGCCAAAGCGAGGGTCCTCAAAGCCCAATAGTATTCAACCACAGTCTTCACCATGCAACCTTCCTCCACCTGAAATTCCAATTGCACGCCAGAACCCAGTCTGACAGCCTCCTGCACCCTGGGCGTGGACTGATGCAAGAGAGAGCGAATCTTACTGGCGGGGATCACAGTCACGGCGCGCGTCCGAAACTCGCGGTAGCAACGACTGTGCAGAGCATCAGAAGGTTCCAACATGGGGTCCAGGGTCAGGTTGTACTTGGCCAAGAAGGCCCTGCACATCTGCTGCCTGGTACTGTCAGGTAGGACCTCATCAGGGGCTTCCACATGCTTGGAGTCAGAAATAGTGGCCTTGATGGCTGCAGCCTTGATGCGAGAACGGGCCAACCGGTTATCTTTCAAAGTAGTACCGAGGAGGACCTGCGACAGAGAGTCCTCCAGCTGGGCATCATCAAACCAATGCACGAAGTCCTCAAGTGTCTCCCAACGGTACTTGGTGACCAGTTCCTTGGACCATTCCGGCAAAACATTGGCCACCGTAAAACACGTGGAGAGACCGCGATCATCTACATACACGTCGATGTGGGCAGCTTGCGTCATGGCTGACACCACGAAGTAACGCGCGCGGGGACAACGAGTCTCGAACCAAAGATACGGGAGTGGCGGGTGAGCAGAAGGCCCAGCTTCAAGAACCACCACACACTACACCAGTGCACAAACTAGGAACCAAGACTGTTAAAGAAAAACCTCAAAAACGCAGACACTCCAATAAACATGACGGTCAAGTAGCGGAAACCGATAGGCCGGCAGCAAATACGGGGTCATTTTCACAGCCGGCGGGTATGCTGTCAACAGAGCCACCCGCAAGTATCTGCCAAGGCCTTGTACAAAGCGCGAGGCATCCTGGCCAGGCATCGCTGACACAGGGCGCTCTTGGGCAGGGTGTTAAAGCCCTCGCCCACCTGCTTGGGATCCTGTGCATAGGCTGCGTCCCGGCAGAAAGGGAGGAGGCGGCCGCCATCGAGTTCGCCCTGGACTAAGTGACTAAATGGACTCTCGAGGCCTGCACAAACCACTTCCCCTCACAGCCAAGGTCCGCTGGTGCATCAATACCTTCCAAATCAGAAGCGGAAGCTGACTTATCAGAAGCTGAGGAAGAGGCGGTAGACGATGAAACAGACACAACAATGTCTTCTTCTGCTGATGGGGAAAGGTTGTCCATCGAGGTCTGCCCAGAAGCACAGGCTGAGCCATGTGCTCCGGGGTCAAGTCAATCGCCGGGAGGTCCAAGGAGTCCACCACATGGGGGAGGGCCTCATTGGCCACAGCCAGGTCCTGCCGGGACCAGGAATCTCGCGGGAGCAGCCCATCGTGGGTCAGGGCCAACGACGGCTGCTTCTGTTGCCAAAGGTGCAAAAACCGTTGGACCAACGCAGCCTTGAGCAGGCCACTGTGTACCACCTTCGGCCCAGCGTAGTTGACGCCCATGGTCCAGGTCGCCCGGCTCTTGCGTTGTGGCGTAGGGCCGCCCGCGCTAGGCACCTCCACCCAGCTGGCCAAGGATTGCTGGTCAGTGGGGCGCAAGCGACAGATTTGTCCCAAAGTGGGCAAGAATCTGCGCAACCGGTTGAAGCCAGCGACCTGTGCCTGAACAGGGTCCACCCCCAGGTCCATCAAGGTGCCCCGCAGCAGCTCCAACAATCGCCCTCTGGACATCTTCTTGGACACCACCCAGGGTGTCGACGCCGTCACTTGCCACAACTCCTCTGCTCGAAGCTCCACGGCCGGCCAAAGGTACTGCGCTCCAGGCAGCAATTCGTGAAGAACAAAGTCTTTCGCGATCTTCAACAGGCTTGCGCCACGGAAGATCAGGTCGGCATAGCCCACTCATAGGGGGGGGGCACCCCCTGCGGCCTGGCTTTGCCTTGAGAGCACTTGAAGATCAGGAAGGTGTCAGCCTCACCCACAAAATAGGAGCGTTGAAAATGTTCGAAGCGAATACACGAGGTGGCAGCCCAAGTAAACATAGCAAGCAGCAACAAGTGGGTGCCCTGAGCTTGGCGAAGGCAAAGAAGCAAGTTCACCATCTCCCAAGGCTGCAAACCATTGTCGACCATACAATAGGTTCCCTGCGTATGAATGGTACGCCTCCAAGTTTGTATGTGATCGGTGTTACGTCTCGCCCACGCTTGGAAACACAAATTTCTCAGAACATGCATACGCAGCTTTTGCTTCTTCACCTCTCTGATCTGCCATCTCATCTTAGTCATCGACAAGTGCAAGCTCCTCGCTTCATCCGAGATTGGCTGTTGAGCCTTCTTCCGTCTGTTGGCTTGCAAAGTTCCTGCAAGTTCCAATGCTTCCTGCTGCCATGGACATTGCGGCGCATCTCTCCAAATAGACTGTAATTTCTCTGCGGACTCACTGGATTTCATAGCCCGGAGGTCCACTCTGTTCTGGCCATTGGTTGCTGCCATTGAACAGATAGGACAGTGCATACATGGTCTTCACCTTCGTGTCCAGCATGAACTTCATCGTCAGTCCACGCCCAGAGTGCATTCCAGTGGGACGCAAACATAATCCAATCTGGACCGCTTGCCTGAAGCCGCTCATCCCAAAGCTCACCATTGCGGCTGGAAATGCCTGGGAAAGTGGCATTAGCATCCAGTAAAGTACAACTGGATCAGCACCTGTCCAACATTTGTGCACCCATGCAATAAGAAAGGTCCACCGCTGTCGTCTTTCTTCGATTGGCCTGCCTTGCCTGCAGCATTAATTTTTGCTGACCGCGATGATACTACGATCTTGGTAGCAGACAGTTGTCCTGCTGACTTGGAAATATTTCCCTCGCAACAGGAACATCAACCAAAGCTCGACTCCATGTGTACCTTCTTGGGCAAGACGAAGGCTTAAAGATCTGACGTTCCCAGCCTGATTTGCCACATAGGCTTCGAATTGGGCTTGAAGTGCCATAAGTTGGGCCCTTGACTCCCCTGAGCGATGCTTCAGCAACGCGTTTTCTGTCTCCTTCTTGACCTCTGTATCTAGCATGTCTTGGTCTGTCGCCACATTAAATTCTTTTTACACTGCTTGAATTTCCTCCTCCAACTTGTTCTCCTCGAACTGATGCCACGCCTCCTTTTTGTCTTTCAATCTTTTGTGCAGCTTCTCGAGCTTCACCGTTATCTTCTTCTTGCTGTTGGGAAAATTCCGCTCCTCTTTAACACCGGTGAGCAGTCCTGCTTGCAAGGTCTCTGACAGCGTAGAACTGGGCTCGGTTCCACTTGCACGTATTGACCACATCGTCCAAGACTGACTTGGATGCAGCTGACAATGAGGAAGATCCATGTTGCCAGCGTCGTAGGCTGGCAGCCCCGTGCCTTTGCCTTCCTTTTCTCTGTCCTCTTGCGCATGTTGTTTTTTCTTTCCTCCGTTCTCTTTCTTCTTCTCTTTCTCCTTGGCTGTGTAGCGTGAAGCTCCACTCCACGTGATCCACCAAGATCCTGGTTCTCTGTCTCACCTTGCAGTGGGTTGCCTGCTTCGCTCTTCTCAGCACCTGTCGAGCTGCACTCCTCTGCTTCCGCAACCTTGGGTGTCCTGGTGTCCACGGCTCAAACCCCAACAAAGCGGCTCAAGAACATCCGAACTTTCGGTTCCAAGCTTCGGAGTGCCGGCGCTACTTGCACCAAGTTGCTCAAAGTCAATGTCTGTGGAGATCAAGGAGCAAAGCTTGGGAAACACTGCGTTGGAGATATGGGCCTCACATCTCAATAAGGCTCCCAACGTCTCCACGCTCGCTCAAACAAGCATTTAAACATCGGTGTCAAACACACAAGAGCGTTTCCAGGCTCTGAACTGATGGGTTGGAACCGTAAAAGAAGCAACCAAACCTGCAAAATTGGTGTCAGAATATGTCGACAAAACTTGTTTGATTGTTTTAAATTCTTTACAAACAAGAGGTGTCTAACAAAATAACAAATTGTTGGTTCCTCCTCTTTCTTGCTTTTTTGATGTTTCATGATGCTGTCTATGTCTTCTTTTCGCCCCATTTCGTCGAGATGCTTAGCAGAATGACCGTGCAAATCCAGAAACATCTCAATGCCCTTCACGGACGAAAGCCCCTGGTGTCGAGCGTTCTCAGAACAGAAAACGCTCGTTTCTCAGAACATTTGTTCTGCTTTCAACAGCCACAACAAAAGAACAAAGCGAATTGACTTTTTCTCCAAATACATCCGTATATTTCGACAAATGCAAGTGTGCGCTTTCAAAAACACGAGGTTGCATGTCGAGAAAGGGACGCTGTGGGGCCCGTGTTCTTCACTGTAACTGCATTCCTTCTGTTACCTTTCCGTCATGGATCCCTTCAATTCTTCGGCTCTGTTTTGCGTCACAGTAACCATGTTTGCTATTAGAAACAAGTGCATCGCTACTAGTAACAGGTGCCTTACTAGCAGTAACAAGAAGCTATTAGAAACAAGTGCATCGCTTCTAGTAACAAGTGCCTTACTTGTAATAACAAGAAGCAAGTAGTAACAAGTGCCACGCTAGTAGTAACAGGTGCCTTACTTGTAATAACAAGAAGCAAGTAGTAACAAGTGCCACGCTAGTAGTAACAGGTGCCTTACTTGTAATAACAAGAAGCAAGTAGTAACAGGTGCCACGCTAGTAGTAACAGGTG